GTTTTATTTCTTTCTCTCCATCAGCTCTTCTCTCTTTCTTACTCTTTTTGCCCATGTCTTCTTTTTTTTAATGTAGGTTTTTGTGTGGTTGGATGTATTATTTATTTTTTTAAATGATTTATTTATTTTTATACAAGAACTGGGGTACAGCTCAGAGGTGCAGGAGGATGAGAGCATTCACCAGAGACAGAGCAGGGAACAGAACAGGCAGATGGACCGAAATACACTGCTAAGGGGAGCAGCAGGCCAGACAGGAGAGGTCTGCCGAGTCATGTGGGTATCTCCTTGGCCAGCCGGGAATCGAACCTGTGTTGCAGAGGCTGCGGACAGCTTCACAGTGCTGCGCTCAGCCCTCTGCACCATTGGGGAGACCTGCCCATATCTTTCTTCATTTAAAAAAATGTAGTTTCCTGGTCTCATTGTCTCTCTGACGGCCTTCTAGAGTCTTACCTTCTACTCCTACCAAGGCCATTCTTTCCCGAGTGAGCACAGGCACTATTAGTATTATTTCCACCCTGACTGTGGAATTTATAAAACTCAGTTTGTCTTCAGTGCCTTTTAGAATGTAAGTAAATAAATAAAAGTTATGCATATTCCACTCAGAAAAGCATGCATCTGTGCACCAAAGAATACACATAATAATGTTCCTAGGAGCATTATTTGCAGTGACCCGCCCCCTCACAAAATGAATAGATAATATGAACAACCTGATTCTTATCAACAGCACAATGACTAAATAAATTCTGGCACTTTCTTCAATGAAATGCAATTTAGCAATGAAGATGAATGATTTCTACGTACAGTAAATGAGTAAGACTTACAAATGTATGTTGTGCGGAAAAGGTGGACACCAGCGAAAACATACCGTTGAATTTATCTTAAATAAAAGTTAGAAAGAAGTGAAATGAATGAATAATGTCAGAAATTGGACTTGTGGTTTCTTTTGGTGAGGAAGAACATTATAATCAAAGGGGGCCTGGTGGGGAATTCATGCCTCCTAATAATAGCCTGTGTCTTGATACTTGTGGTGATACCAAATACTGGCCTCAGTTTCCTTCAGCCAATAAAAGGAAACAGTTTGAGGAGAAGGAAAGTAGTTTAATTTGTTGACAAACTGAGGAGGGAAGCAGACTCATGTCTGAAAGGCCACTGTCTTGCTCTTTGGCAGAGGGCAGGGGTGCTTATACAAAGGAGAAAAAAAAAAAAAGGAGGGGATAGGAGGGGCTGACATACCCTTTTGAAGCAGGTATCTGGAAATTTCATTTCGGGTGGGCACCAGCTTCTTTTGTTGACACCTGCTTTTTAACTTCCTTATTAATCTTCTTAGGAATGTCCTTCCTTTTCCTTAGACTGCAAGAAGACAAACTTGTTAAATGCAACAGATAGGAAAGCTTACTTGAGGGGGTAGGAGGAGAGTCCTGTCCTCTTGTCACTGCATCAGTGGGAGATGCAAAAATCTGAATTCCCTTTGTGAATGTTCACTGAGGTGAGCCTTTGTTGTTTGTGCATCTTGTATATGCATTTGTAATATTTATATGTCAATCACATAGTTTATTTTCAAAGAGGTAGGTTAAGTCTTCTGCTTTCTATTTCACAGTTGAGCAAGCTCAACTTAAAAGTCTTGAGTTTTTGCCATTGAATCAGGAATGGAATGCGGGTTCTGCGCCTTCCCTGCTGCTGTCAGAGGGCTTACTTTTATCCATTTGTGTGATTAACCTTTTTCCCACATGCTTCACCCTTTTTCTCTAAAAAGCTGTGGCCACATAGAAGATATTTTCAGCTCTGTGGGCCCTCTGGTCTCTGCCATTGTGCAGTTAAAGCGGGTATGATGATAGAGGAACCAGCGGGTGAGGTGGTCTTCTAATAAAGCTTCATTTATAGACCATGAAATTTCAGTTTCACATAATTTATGCATATCATCAAATAGTATTACTTCATTGTTTTCTTTTCAAAAACATAAAAACCTTTCTTAACTCCTGGCTTACACGGTGTTGGGTGGCCACTATGTTTGGCCCGCAGGTCTCAGTTTGCCAGCCCTGGTATTAGAACTCTGACAGCAAAGCAACCTGAGTTGCAATTTGCATCACAGTTTATGTATTTCTTTGTGTGCAGGCAAAGGGAGCAGCCCACCAAAGAATGACGCTCTTTTGGTTGTAAAAGTTCCAGCCTATTTAGCACATCACCAATTTCATGGCTCATGGGTTAAACTAGAAAGTTCTCTGAAGAGTAGTTTTGTCTCTGCTCTGTCTCTTGTGTTTCCTCTGATTTCTTCCCTTTTCATTTAATGAGAATAAACAAAATGTCCTAGGCTAAGAACAAAAGGATTTATCAAATGTAAACTGAACCATCTGTTATTGAACCCAACCCTTCTGTCTGATTAGTGCCCCAAGGCAGTCAAGCTTTATAGCTCTGATGTGCTATGTGAAAGAGGAAAAAGAAGGCAGAGCCACCCAGTAATGAGGATCGCACCTGCATTGGGAGACCCATACAGGTAGCAAAAGAAATAGTAATTTGAAGACTTTATAAATTATAGTTCTTAAGAACTTTTATATTCATTTTGATAAAAATGAGAAAGGAAGCCATGGCGTGTGAAAAGAGCTGGGAAAGTCACCTGTAAATTTGTAAAAACAACACCTGATGGCCTATATGTTTCTGATTCTCAGTGGTTTCCTAAGGCACACATCCTGTGTCACCCCCAAATGTAGCTGCAGATTTTGTGCATTGAGTTTTGGCCGCCCCAGGAATAGAAGCTCTTTGAGCAACGCCGCACAGACCCAGAAGGTGATCGTGAGCACCCTAAGACTTGGGGTACACTTTGCTGCAAGTACAGAGGTGTCGCGTGTCACCCAGTGGGCAGCAAGGAAAGCTCGTGTGTACTGGAACAAGTGAGAATTTGGCTTGGTGGAGTTTATGGGATGGAAGTAAAGGCAGAAAACTTTCCACTCATAGAAAGAGGGCTGAGTGTCACCCAGGGAGCAGTGCTATACAGCCGTCCACGCTGACCTGCCCATATACCGGTCAGCAGGACAACAGCAGGGAGAATGGACATTATGTGCTGTTGTGATGGGACCCCCAGAACTCCTGGAAACAGGCTGGGTACCCAGCATAGCATCCTGCTTTGACGACCTCGAGTGTGGTTCAATGCTCAGTGTTATTTGGGTTAATTTGGTAGGTTATTTTTGGCCTCTTGGAACACTCAAAAATGTTTTCATGTAAATGAATGGTAATTATGTCTTTGCTTTTCACCATTTCAGCTTGGGGAAGAATTCATAGGGATGCTGAATCTGTAATTACATCATCCTTCCTTCCTTCCTCATCTGAACCCTCTTCACTAGGCTGGGTGGTAGGGCTTATGAATCAACAAACACCGTTCTTGTATGACTCGATGTGGCTGCTGTTCATTTCCAAAATTATGATTTTCAATAGAAGTAGAAGGAGAAGCACCATCTGCGTCCCCAAATCCTCTTTCCATGTAAGACTTCAAGACTGCTCGAGTTATATTTTTCTTCCTTCTGACTATGCTGCTGCTTGCCATGAATCAGCAGAGATGAGTCCATACCTAATATGCAGTTTATTTTATATTTTGCCAGAACCGTATCTTCTATATTAGGTTTTTAAGAATTTTTGTTTCTCCAGCCTGCATGTTACTCTAAATATCTCAGTGATCGCGCGGGTAAACGGCGGGAGTAACTATATTTTGCCAGAACCGTATCTTCTATATTAGGTTTTTAAGAATTTTTGTTTCTCCAGCCTGCATGTTACTCTAAATATCTCAGTGATCTAAGTAATAGAGGTCATTTTAGCTCCTTGTATCAAAATCCTGAGTTTAAGCGTTTGATGGCCCTTCCTCCATGTACTGTGTCAGGGAGGCAGGCAGTCTAACAGCAAGGACATCAAAATGTGTGTGGAGAGTAGACCCTGACATCTGGCTCTCAAGCTCACCGCAGTGGGACTCCCCAGCATCCCTTCTATTTCTCTGTGTGGTGGGAAGTTGAGAGCCCCGGGGGTTTGTTAATGTCCAAAGAGGCACACACACAGAAGTGTTTTGCAGGGGGTTTATGCAAGTGACTGCAAGTCAGTGCTGTTGCTGTTTTGTTATTGTTACTTGTTTGTTTCCTGCTGCTTGCCCAGGCACCATCTCCATCAGGGCCTGTCTCTGTTGCTCACGTTTCTATCTGAGGCAATGTCTCACAAGCCTGTGTTCTTTTTCTTCTGTGCTTTCCTGACTGGTTCCTCCTTTGTCAGGTTAGGATGACCACACTGAGCCCAGGTGTTTGTCACGAGGGTGAGCAGAGCCTCCCCTAAGTCCAGTTCTTTGGAGTTGAAATCATTTCTTATCCGCATGTTGTCCTGTGTCTCTGGCTTCATGAAAAAGTCACCCCAAGCCAGAAATCTGGGGCCCACCACTTGTATTTCATCAACAGTGAAGTCTATGAGTCGATCTCCTTTAAAATGTTGACGGGGGTGACTGTCCATTTCTCTTACCACCACTTTAGTTCAGGTGCTTGTCCTGTATACCCAGCTTCCTTGCAACGCCTTCTCGTGCTTCTTTGGTGGTAGAATTCTCTGCCCTGCCTTCCACTCACTCTCCTTGCAGGCGCTGCTGACTGGAAGCCACCCATGAACTAGTTCCCCTGAACAGTACAGTAGTGGTCTTGTTCCTGAGTTGGTCAGAAATGCATCTCATGTTTTCCCATTAAGAATAGGTGATAATTAACCATATTCTAGATTATGTAATCTGTTTGGACCTATGATAAACGACTATTTTTTTTTATTGCCCTACACTTTTCTGTCTGTTAATTATATTGAAGATGTGCAGTGCAGACACCTCACTAAATTGTTGGCAATGTCTTCTGACCTGTGTAATATTTTAGAGAAAATCATATCTATCCATAATGAATGCACCTCTTCTTTAAAATAAGAATAAGATCATATTAAAGAAGCATCTAGCAAGTCCTGTTTTATCAACTATTTTCTTCTTTTTAAAAATCTAGATTTGGGCCTCCCCTGGTGGGCGCAGTGGTTGAGTGCTGGGCTGCGAAGCTGCCTGCAGCCTCTGCAGCGCTGGTTCAATCCCCGGCTGCCAGCAAGGGTCCCACAAGGTGCGACAAACCTCTCCTGCCGCGCCCACTGCTCCCCTCAGCAGTGTATTTCATCAGTCTACCTGTTCTGTTCCCAGCTCTGGCTCTGGTGAATTCTCTCACCCTCCCACGCTTCTGACTGTACCCAGTGCTTGTATAAATAAATAAATAAATCTTAAAATAAAAATCTAGATTTACTTCAATTTTGCTAAATGCCTTTTCAGTGCTGATGAAAATAATTGTATAGTTTTTCTCTCCTCTGAATTATTAATAGCTTTATTAAACAAGTTTTACTTTGCTGGGATGAAGCTCACTTGGTTATCTGTGTTTCCCTTCTAGTGTGTGAGAGGACATGGCTGCCAGTGGACACCAAGCGGGACACCAAGCTGGACCTGGGCCCTGGGGGGGTCTGTGCTTCCTCCTTTGTGCTGGGAATGTGTGTTCCACCAGTCTCACTGCATGGAAAACTGCTTCATGGCTTTGTGAAAGCACTATGTTGTTGGCACCATTGAGACAGACACAACTAAACCCTGCTGTGGGCTCTCCAATCTTTAGGGTTCTGGTAGGCAGATGTGAAAATCTATTCATCTTCAGTGGCCCCAGACAAGACTCATAGGTAAGTTCCCTGGCTTATGAGAACTGCCACCTCCCCATCTGGAGGGGCCTGCCTCTCTTGTCTCTTCCTGACCTCCTTGTTTGGGGAATGCTTTCAGACTTTACATGGAAAACTCCCGAGTTTACAAACTGACACATGCTGATACACTGCGTATTTTTACATCAATAATCATACATCAGTTTGTTCATACTTTATTTCCCAATGTAAAGTTTGTAAATTTAGATTTCAGTATTATCCATGCACCTTTGAATTGAATTGAATTTTTTTTCTCTTTTTTATGCTCTAAAACAGTGTAAATAGCATTGGAATTCTGTGATCCTAAAATATGCACAGTTCTCCACAGTAGCATTTGAGTCTGATGCTCTTTACTGGGGTAGTTCTTTTATCTATTTCTTTTTCTAGGATTGACATTGGCCTGTTTAGAGCATTACATTTTGTTCTTCTTTTGTCAGTTGAGTTAAATTACAATGACTATAAAAATGTTCTCTTTGTCCAAGTTTCAACATTCATTTTCTCACAATTTTATGCAAAGTAGCCTTTTTAAGATTTTTATCAAATTTATCTGTGTGGTCGTTTGACCCTTCCCTTTTCTTATTTTGTTTATTTATACTTTTTTAATTGATTATGTTATTCAGTATGTAGGAAATTTTGTCCAAGTATTGACTTTTTATTTATATGTCAGCTCTACAATATTTTTCCATCTCCTGGTTCATCAATTTTGAATTGATACTTCAAGTGCATATGCTAAATGACCAGCCATGAAGGCCTAGACTGTGGTGTGAGTGACGTTACACAGAAAGGGAATACAAAGGGATTTTGAACACAGAGGAAATTTATACAGTGGTTCCCTTGAGAGAGAAATTTATAAGTGGCCAGCGTTCCTTTTCAGGGAGAATTGGTGTCCGGTGAAATTACACCAAGACGATGCCGTTGTGCCTTTATCCACGTGCCCTGCACTCATCACTCCAGTAGATACTAAGAACCTGCTCTGTTCTGGACAAGGTGTAGGATTAGAGGATCTAGGATAAGGCAAGTCTCTACTTGCTTGGAGCTAATGGTTTAGTGAAGGGAGGGAAAAACGTATGCACATATATAATAAGCCCTGCAATTAGTATGTAGGGAAGCATAAATCGGGATAAAAGGGACAGGAGGCATGTGGATGGGGTGACTTGATAGTTTATATACAGTACCAAAGAAGGCCTCCTTGATGAGTTGGTATTTGAACCTAGAATTAAAGAAGGGGTGAGTCAGCCATGGATCTACCTGGAGAAGCTGAGATGCAGGTAGAGGTAACAGTTACTGCAAATGCTCACAGGTGGGCTGATGGTTAATTTTCTGTGTCAATGTGACTGGGCCAAGAGATGCACAGATAATTGGAAAAAATATTTTCTGGGTGTGTCTGTGAGGGTGTTTTGGACAAGTTTAGCATTTAAGTTGTTAGGCTGAGTAAAGAAGATTGCCCTCCCCAATGGGCATGGCCTTGTCAATCAGGCGAAGCCTGGACTAGAACAAAAATGCAGAGGTAGGGCAAATCTCATCTGCTTCTGCCCTTGAACCTCAGCACCCCTGGTTTTCAGGCTTGGAGGTTCTGGCTGAGACTTACCGCAATGGCCTCCCGTTCTCAGGCCTTTGGATTCAGAATGAATTATTATGCCATTGGCTTATCTGGTCCTCTCGCTTGCAGGCAGCAGATTGTGGGACTTCGCGGCCTCCCTCATCATATGAACCAATCTCTGTAAGACCTCTCCATAAAATATGTTAAGAAGTATATATCCTATTGCCTCTATTCTCTGGAAATTACCAATGGACAGAGTTAGATATAGCCTAGCAACAGCAAGGAGACCCATGTGCTGGAGTAGAGCAAGAAAGAATTCAGGAGGAATTCAGGAAGTGGATGGGGACAGAGTGTGGTTCCATGGGGCCTGGGAGGCCTGTGGCTTAACTGTGGATGGACAGGAGGCATCCAAGTGATGAACAGAGGCCACACCACCTTTCCTATGTTCCCAGGATTGTTCTGGCTGCTCTGTTGAGGACAAATGGAGGGTGTCAGCGTGCAGGCAGACAGGGCTTTTGGGGACAGTGTTGCAACACTCTAGGGGAGTGAGGGAAGTGGACTCAGATGCAGGTGAGGAGAAGTGGATTCAGCATATAATCTGAAAATAAAGACCACAGGGCTTACTGGTGAATTGGACATGGGTGTGAGAAATAGAGGTAAATGAAAGCTAGAAATCCACAATTTTTGGCCTGAGCAATTGAAAGGTCTTAACTCCATAGTCAATAAAATAAGAGACTGAAAAGTCTGCAGGTGTTGGGGAGTGTTCAGCAAACCTCAGCATATGGCTGTTGCTGTTCCTTGGCTCAGATTTGCAGACATGTGCCTGGGTACCCCATAATTTATGTGCCTGGGTACCCCACATGTGCCTGGGTACCCCATAATTTATGGAGCAGAGGTGTTAGCTACTGTTTGCATAAGGCGTACTGGTGACAGAACATGCATTTAAATATCATGAATGCAACCCAGAGCACATGGGCATGGTGATTTAGATTGCCTGTCATTTGTAATTGGGTTTTTATATCATCATGTACAAAAATTTATAGGGCTGCTTAACTGGACCCGCCATTCTTTCAGTTCCTAGTTTTGTCTCTGCCACATGCCCACCCACCTCTGCCTGCAAGGCTAACCTAGGTGATCCAAGATTTCCTTCTCATAAAATGTGCCTTTCAGGCCAATAGAAAAAGGCCGGAGGCTTCCTTTTTGAAAAGCTAGCCCGTGTCATCTTTCAGCATGTCTAATAAAATGATAATGTTGAGGGCAAATGACAGTAGTGATTTTTTTATGTAGAAGAACTCTAGCTGCTTTCTCTGAATGATGGTTTTTGGTTTTTCAGGCCACATTCTGAATATTCTAGATACTTTAATTTTAATTTTGCCTGCATGTTTACATGGGTTAATTCAGCTACAGATCTGTGTATGGAAATCTGAGGCGCACTAGTCTAAGTGGAATTGGAATACAGCACAGACCTCTCCTGTCGTATCCAGTGAGAGAAAGAACATGAGTCTGAGCACAGGGGAAGCAGAGAGGAAACAAGAACCCAGATTTAATCAGAAGGAACCAAAGTGAACATAGTCCTGGATCAAGACTGTGACAACTCACAAGTATATGTAATTGGGGTAGGCTTAGGTTGGTCCTGAAGACTCCTGGGAAAAGGGTGGAAGCTAACCCCACAGCAGGAGCAGACACAATATAAGGGACGCGTGATCGAGATATGTACTCTGCTGGGCATGTGCTGTCAAAGTCATGACCTTGAGTAACAGTAGCTGCCGTGGTCCAGCTCCCGGGGACAGCAGGACAGCTCTTGCTGTCCAGGGGTGTTGTGTGTGTTGATGGGTTTCTGTCACTTTTAGAGACACCACCTTCCTGTCAAGGAGAAATGGGCAGAGTGATTGCTGGAGTGTTCAGGATGGAGCTGGTTTCCTGGGTATAGCTCAGTGTGGACAGATTCCAGAAGGGCTGGAAAAGGGCATATGGGATTCTAAAGAAAGAGGAACCTTGTGGGGTGAACTCATTCTCCTCTCTATCTTTCGGCTGCATATTGCTTGTTTATAATGACTTTTTTCCCAATCAAAACTACTCTTTTTCATTATTTAAAAACAAATAAACAAAGCCAAGTACAGGAGCCATAAGCAGAATGTCATAGTGGGTGGGGGCTTGGGGTCAGATATTTTGGAGGTGCGTTCTCCATCTCCCATTTCATTTGGCATATGATCCTCTGCAAATTACTTTATTGCTCATCAATAAAATGGAATTTCTAATCATTTCTACTCCATAGGGTTGTTGTGAAGAATAGGTGCGTGGGAATGCATGTAAAGCACCTGGCATATTATCTAATCAGTGAATGCAAGCTCTTATTAATCAGGCAATTAACTGCTCTGCCAAAAAGTGTTTCCATGTCAAGAAGCCACTGAAGAGAAAACACAGCTCAGGCATTTAGTAGGCACTGAGAGATAATATTTATCTCCAAAGTTGCTATGTCAAAATAAAAATAACTGATTTTGAATGTGGGAATTTATCTAGTAAGGACTTCAAAAGCAAAACTGGTAAGGAAAAAGGTCCACATTTCCCATTCTAGGGGTTCTTGCCTCCCAAAAGGCATTAACCGAGGCGGTAACTCTCCAGTGTGCTCACAGACTGTTCACAGAGAGAAAAGAGGAGCAGGGCACAGAGGATTCAAAATACAAACTCCTGATCAGACTCCGAGCTCGCCCGTCCCTTCCTGGGCAAACACCCAATTAAACATCGGGGCTCGGTGCTGTGGCAGTATCCTGGCAGCTGGGTGGGGGGAGAATTACGGGGACCACACCTGAGGGGAGAGGTCACACACGGTCCACAAATGAACAACAGTGTAAGAAAATAAATAATATAAAGAGAGAATAATTACATTTTTAATGTTGATGACCCGCTGTTTCTGGCTGTATAAACTATTATTGAACTATGTTTAGGGGGATAGTGTGAAATCTGTCAGGCTGCTTCCCAGGTTCAAATCCTTTCTTTCATTAGCTGGTAAATTGTCCAAACATTCTTGACACTTTTTCAGTTAACATCAAGAAAACTTGGCCAACAAAATAAACACCAAACCATTTTAGAGAAAGTGAAAATGCCCCTCATTCCTGGCCTCTCTGGACAACTGTCCCAGGTATGGGTCAGGCCCGGCTGCTTGTCAAAGCTTGTGTGCTTCATCTGATTTCCCAGAGAGCACGTTGATACGTGTGCCGACAGCACTCCTAGTTAGCAAGGTGTGCCTGAGGAATGGCAGTGTGAATTATATGGGTAAGAAATAATAAACTGGGCCTCCCCTGGTGGTGCAGGCGGTTGAGCATACCGCTGTGAAGCTGTCCACAGCCTCTACAGCACTGGTTCGATCCCAGCCAGCTGGCAAGAATCCCAGAACAGGCAGAAATACACTGCTGAGGGGAGCAGGGGGTGAAACAGGAGAGGTCTG